TGCCTGAGACTTCAATACCCCACTGTTAGAGCTAGACAAACATCAAAGTAGAAAATAAATAAAGAGACACTGGACCTACACCAGACTCTAGATCAGATGAAACTAACTGATATTCACAGAACATTCTACCCCTAAACTACTGACTATATATTTTTCTCAGCAGCACAAGACATTCTCCAAGACTGAACATATCTTAGACCATGATGAATTCAAAAAAATTAAAATAGTACCATCTTTATTCTCAGAAAACAGTGGAATAAAACCAGGAATCAATTCCAAGAGAAAGTGTTGAACCTACAAAAACTCATGGAAATTTAACAACCTGAGACTTAATGATCATTAGGTCAAGAATAAAATTAAAATTTGAAACACGGACTTGGGGGGAGGGGAACCAAGGGCAACACACATAACCTAAACATCTGTACCCCATAATATGCTGAAATAAAAAAAAATATGAAAAAAAAAAAGACTCTTTGAACTGAACAACAAAGGGAACGCAAGCTATCAAAATCCATGGAACTAAGCAAAAGCATTCCTTAGGAGAACATTCATAGCTTTAAATGCCTCCATCACAAAGATAGAAAAATTGCAAACTAAAAACCTAATGTCACATCTCAAGGAATCAGAAAAGGAAGAGCTAGCAGAACTGAATGCCAGCAGAAGAAAAGAAAAAATGAAGGTCAGAGCAGAACTAAATGAAATAGAAAAGAAAGAAACAAACAAACAAACAAAAATACAGAAGATCAACAAAACAAAAAGGTGGTTCTTTGAAGAGATTAAAAAAAAATCAACAGGCCACTTGCTAGATTAATCAGGAATAGAAGAGAAAGTACTGAGATAACCTCAATCAGAAATGAAAAATAAAACACTATAACTGATACTCCAGAAGTAGAAAACATTATCCATGAATACTGTGAAAATCTCTACACATATACATTTGAAAACATAGAGGAAATGGAGAAATTCCTGGAAATACACAACCTACCAATACTCAATCAGGAAGAAATAGAATTCCTGAACAGATCAGTAATGAACAGCAAAATGCAAGCAATAATCAAAAATGTTACAACAACAACAACAACAACAAAAGCCCTGGACCAAATGAATTCACAGCTGACTTCGACCTGACTTACAAAGAAGAGGCAGTATTCATACTACAGAAATTATTCCATAACATAAAGAGAGGAAATTCTTCCTTACTCATTCTCTGAAGCCAGTATCACTGTAATATCTAAGCCAGGTAAAAGAGACAGCAAAAAAAGAAAACTACAGACCAATATTCCTTATGAATACGGATGAAAAAATCCTCAATAAATTACTAGCAAACTGAATTCAGCAGCAGATCAAAAAAATAATCCACCACGACCAAGTGGGCTCCACCCCAGCTATATAAGGATGGTTGAACATATGCAAATCAATAAAAGTGACTCACCACATAAACATAAGTAAAAATGAAAGAACATATATTCATCTCAATAGCTGCAGAAAAAGCATTCAACAAAATTCAGCACCCCTTCATGATAAGAACCCTCAACAAACTAGGCATAGAAGGAGCATATCTCAAAATTGTAAAGGCTATACATGACAAACTCACAGCCAACATCATGCTGAACAGGGAAGAGTTGAAAACATTCCCCCAAAGAGCAGGAAGAAGATAAGGGTGTATGTACACTGTCATCACTTCTATTCAATATAGTGCTGGAAGTCCTAGCCAGAACAATCAGGCAAGAGAAGGAAATAAAGAGTATCCAGATCAGAATAGAAGAGGTCAAAGTATCACTTTTTGTTGATGATATGATCTTATATCTAAAAAACACCAAAGACTGTACCAAAAGACTCCCAAAATTGATCAATATATTCAACAAAGTCTCAGGTTACAAAATCAATGTACACAAATCCATAGCATTTCTATATACCAAAAACAGCCAGGCTGAGAATCAAATCAAAGACTCAATATCAGTGACCAAAGCTACAAAGAAAATAAAATACTTAGGAATATACTTAATCAAGGAGGTGAAAGATCTCCACAAGGAGAACTATGAAACATGGAGGAAAGAAATTACAGAGGACACAAACAACTGGAAAAATATATCATGTTCATGGATTGACAGAATCAACATTGTCAAAATGTCCATACTACCCAAAGTGATTTACAGACCCAATGCAATCTCCATCAAAATACCAATGTCATACTTCACAGAGCTAGAAAAAATAATTCTACACTTCATTTGGAACCAGAAAAGAGCCCGAGTAGACAAGGCAATCTTAAGCAAAAAGAACAAATCTGGAGGAATCACCTTTTCAGACTTTAAACAATACTACAAGGCTATAGTAACCAAAACAGCATGGTTTTGGTACAAAAATAGAGACATAGACCAATCGAACAACAAAAACATATAGAGAGAACCCAGATATAAAACCACCTACCTACAGCCCACTGACAAAGCAGACAACAACATACAGTGGGGAAAAGTAGCCCTTTTCAATAAATTGTGCTGGGAAAATTGCATAGAAACATTCAGAAGAATGAAACAGGACCCCTTATCTCTCACCACTCACAAAAATTAATTCAAAATGGATATAAGACTTAAAGGTAAGTCATAAGACCTTAAGAATTCTAGAGGAAAATTTAGGAAAATACTTTTAGATATTGGCCTAGGCAAAGAATTTATGAATAAGACACCAATAGCAATCACAGCAACAACAAAATAAATAAATGGAATTTGATTAAACCAAAAAGCTTCTGTATAGCAAAGAAAACAATCAACAGAATAAATAGACATCCTACAGAACGGGAGAAAATATTCACAAGGTCTACATCTGACAAAGGGCTAATAACCAGAATCTACAAAGAACTCTACCAAATCAGCAAGAGAAAAAACAACCCCATTAAAAAGTGGGAAAAAGACACGAACAGAAGCTTTTCAAAAGAAGATACACAAATGGTCAAAAAATATATTTAAAAAATCACTCAGAAAATTGCTCAAAATCACTAATCATCAGATGAATGCAAATTACAACCGCAATGAGATATCACCTTACCCCAGTTAGAATGGCTTTTATTAAGAAGTACAAAAACAATAGATGTTGGCATGAATGCAGAGAGAAAGGAACACCTATAAACTGTGCATCCATCTTGTCTGGGGCTTTTTTTCAGTGGAAGATATTTTATTACTGCTTCCATCTCTTTGCTCATTATTGTTTTTTTCAGAAGCTGTATTTCTTCCTATTGGAGTCTTTGGAGGTGATGTGTTTCCAAAAATGTGTCCATTTCCTCTACTTTTTTGAGTTTATGTGCATAGAAATTTTCATAGTATTCACAGATGATATTTTGTATTTCTGTGGTACCATTTGTAATATCTCCTTTTTCATTTCTGCTTGAGCTTATTTGGGTCCTTTTTATTCTATTACTGGTTAATCTAGCAAGATGTCTATCAATTTTATTTATATTTGTATTCAAAGAACCAACTCTTTGTTTCATTAATCCTTTGTAGTGTTTTTTTATTTTTCATT